AACAAAAAAGAGAGCAAAACTGAATGCAGGAGTCAGTTAAATTAATTAAATTACTTGACCACCAATTCAATAAATCAGTACGATACCTTAGTTCTAGTTGTGGTCACTGGAGACAAAATGGGTCACTGGATGAGGAAGTGATCGCCTTAAGGGACATGAGGCTAGGAAGGAGCAAATCACACCAGAACAGCCGCCAAGTGGTGGAAAACTTTTACTAAAACAATTTTTTTTAAATAAATAAATAACCAACAAGGTGCTTTGAAGACAGGGAAAATATTAAACTTCAAATGTTTATTTTCACGACTTGGCTGAGTTAACCGACATGATAAAAATGGCAACACAGTGCAGCGTCTCTATAACGGCATCGCCGGGACCAGAAAAAAATGTGGTTACAGAAAGTTGTCCTTATAGACAGGCAACCAAAAATATTACTAATACATATATAATAAGGAACAAATCGGGACCTGAGCACCATGTCGCTATACAGAAGATGTCGTTAGACTCTATATGGAAGGTCGTTACAGAGAAGCTGCACTGTAGATTTGTGACAATACTGAGCAGATCACAGGGGCAAGCAGTGGACGATCTCTGGCGAACATTACACACGCTATGTGCCAAAAGTTGTGATACACATAGTCATACATGATATTGGCCAGCTTTACCTGTCATGGAAAGCAAAACATGACCCGTCAAATTGTGCAAGGAAATACACTGGAAAAAATTCCAGACCACACTACCATTGTACAGTTCAGCAAGCACATTGTGAAGTTGGCCGGGTGCGGAAATCTTTGCCTCATGTACAAATTTCATTATGTTTGCGTTTTAGTAAAAGTTTAGACATAAAATACATAAATGTATTGAAAAAATCGGGGACCTGACCTGAAAATATGTTGGCTATGTGAATGTTTCCCTGTACATCATGCACATATATATATTATAATATATTATACACATATTATATATATATATATATATATATATATATATATATATATATATATATATATATATATATATATATATATATATATATATATATATATATATAAAAAGAGGACTGGACAGGCATGGACCAGGAACACAGGAACATGTACATTATTGACAACAGGACGAAAGGCAGAACCAGTTATTGCGATAATGATCACTGAGGTTATCAACTGACAAACAGGCAATTGCTAGCAGCATACACAACTATAATATATAACATTATACAGAGGACGACTCATACTGTCACAACTATAATATATAACATTATACAGAGGATGACTCATACTGTCACAACTATATATGTGAGGCATCGCGGAGAAATCAGGCGCTCGTCAAAATAATGAAATCCAAAAAATCCGTATTTTTCAACCAGTTTGAAAATTTGTCGAATGTTTTTTGTTGTTGGGCGCAACACCTTGTACGTCAATTCAAAAACACTTTTTTTGTGTGGATTATATGGAAAAACGTTGATTAAAGGCATAACAAGTTTTATTTTGCAGTCTCCAAGGATTCTCAAGCTATGGAAGTCACCAAACTTTGGCAGCCATTTTCGCGCAAATTTTACCTCTGAAACCATTGCAAATATCTCGAATTCTATTCAAGATTAACGGATAAACTACCTTTATTAAGATTATACGAATAACTCCATATGCCCAAAAATTGACGAGCGCCTGACTCCACTGCGTCGTGTCACATATATATATTCTATATATATATATATAGATACTTCTGATGACTCATATTGTCACAACTATATATATAAACAGATAACATACTTCTGATGACTCATATTGTCACAACTAAATATAGACAGATAACATACTTCTGATGACCCATATATTGCCACACTCACAGGGGAATTCATTCTCTGAAGGGACAACATATCTGTACAATAATGATAAATAATAATAACATATAATGTAATATATGTCATTTGTATAGAGCAAACTTCTGCTCTAAGTCAAGCTCTATTTACAATTTATTTTATTACCCCCACAGGCCTGATAGCATTCTGAAAAAAAATCTCAACTTCCTGGGAAACATACAGTGCAAGCTGGCTTTTACAGGTGTTAAAACACTAGACTAACATACTGACAAGACCTTTAGCTGTTTATGGCTAGGTACCTATTCCCACCAGGGTGAAGTGAGGAAAATTTGTGTAAAGTGTCTTTTCCCAGAACACAATGATGCACTGAGTTGAGCCTCCATTCCCCGAACCCACAAGCTCACAACTACGAGTCCCGGCGACCTAACCATTGATTAGACTACAAAGTTCTACAAATGCCACAAAAAGGTACATGTACGATATACCTGTTACATTCTAGAAAAAGTCAGATATGATGAAATTGATCTAAATTACCATGTCCAGCTCAAAGTAAGTCACTTTCTAAGCACAATCTACCACGCACATAGCAAAATCGGAGAGACGAGGAAATCTTTTATCTTATGAACAAATTTTACACTTTGCAGTCACACAGCCAGCAGTACAAAACACCCCATCAGGTCACACAGCCAGCAGAACAAAATACCCCATCAGGTCACACAGCCAGCAGTACAAAACACCCCATCTGGTCACCCAGCCAGGAGAGTGACTACAACGGACTTCTCGGGCCTGATGCAGAACTGTGCCAGAAGACAGGAACGGATACTTTTCACCGTCGCGTTATTGCACCAAGTGACTACAAAGTGTTAACTACGCAGATCTATGTAGAATAAGAAAACATTCGCAACGTGAAAATTTGTTTGCTACGTGCGTGCTAGAGTGTAAATCATCTTGAGGAAGGCGTACATATTATATATTATGTACAACGATTATAATCTTATTTTGTGTAACTTTCTCTGTCTGGTTTTGTGCAAACTGATGCTGGTTCAATTTCAATGATGCTCACAGATTTGTCTACAAACAAAACCTGTACATTTCGCAACCCCAATGCTTTTTTGTCCTATCTCAATTTTTGTACTTGGAAAATGTGACATCTTCTTATACGGGTGGTGCCCACTACAGCTGGATCAGGCCAATCGCACGACTCGATCGCCTAAAACTGAAAACAAACACGTATGTTTTTGAGGCGATCGAGTCGGTCGATCGGCCGATCCCAGCCGTAGTGGGCACCCCATATTAAGCTCACTCTTTGTTATGAACTGTTTTCACTGTTATTAAAAATGGAGATCATAGGACAAGAAAGCACTGAGGTCGCCACACTGAGGTCGCCACACTGAGGTCGCGATTTGGTTCTGTGGATTGTGCCCCTTTACGTGTCACAAATAACGAAACGTACGACACAGCTGGAAGTGACATTACAATAATATATCAACATGACCATAAACAGGAGAAGACGGAGATTTTTGAAACATGTTTAGAAAATATCAGAGACAAGATTGCCCTATCAGACATGGTATTGAAGACCTAATGGAAAAAGAAGAAGAGGTAGACCAACTGACAGCTATAGGAGTTCTGTCAGAGATAAGGCAATCACCCGGGGGCTGGATATGTGTCAAGGTTAGAGGAAGTGACCACGGACAGACGAGCAAGGCATCAACTGCTCTCTGTCTTGTGTACATGACGGCACAGAGAGAGAGAAAGTAACCCCCCCACCCCCCGGGGGCGGTGCCACTGACTGAAGTTGTCTTTAGGCCTTTCCCAAAGGGGGGATATTGACATGTTCTTATGCACAGTAGAATTGTAAATGGGCTGATTTATCGATGTCATGCTCATACTGTGCCGGAACTACAACATGGTCGTGTTTTGTGCTTGATCAACAGTCTCTGCACTGACCCCTTGAGTACCACATGCATATATGCACATATTATTATGATATATCATAGACAAACAAACATATCATCCGGATGCTCTTCAAATGTACTACGCCATCAAAGCAAAATGTTACAGGAGAGAGAAAATAATTATTCTATTCTTTCAACAATCGTAGGTAATTTTTCTTACTTTTTTTCAAAATTTTCAATTTGAATTTCCAAAAAATATTTCTTGAGCACACGCAACCGATATTACAGATTAAGAAATTGCAATTTTTTTTAATGTAAATTTTTTTGGCTTAGTACATTTATACAGCTGGCAGACAACACAATTTCCCTGGATAATCATCTCTCCCTGAGAGCCGGTCAAGTCTTCACGTCAGTCCGACTCCGACAAACCCTGGCACTGAGACTGACGTGCCTCAGGTCACGAGTGTTTGACGAATGGCATCATCCTCTTGTAACAGATAACGGTAGCCATGACGCCTGTCAAACCTTGTGTCATTATATGTGTCGCGACACAGTGGAATCAGTCCCTCGTCAATTGTTGGGCATATGGAGTTATTGGTATCATCTTAAAGCTTGTTCATTTGCCTTGCTTTCCATGAAAAAAAGATTAAGTTATCTTGAATAGCAGTCAAGACATTTGTAATTGAAGGAGGTGCGGTTGCCTGGTTTCAGAGGTAAAATTAACGAGAAAATGGCCCCCCAATTTTGGTGATTTCAATAGCTCAAGAGTTCTTGGAAACTGCAAATATACATTTTCTGTGCCTTTAATCAGCATTTTTCTATAAAATCTACACATAAGAAAATTTTTGAATGGACGTACAAGGTGTTGAGCCAAGAAACAAAAACTCGAACAAAAAATTCCCAACTAGCCAAAAAATGCCTCATTCTTCTATTTCATTATTTTGACGAGCACCTGATTTCACCACGACGCCTGAAAAACCGGCGCTGACAGTAGGAACACATACATGACACGTATCCCCCGGCAACAAAACGGTTAACAATCCCATAGAGAGCTGACTGATAGTATCTGAGGTACCCGTGCTGTCAACTCAAACTCCTCTACCTTTCCTTAACTGGTCACTTTTAAGCACAAGGGGGCTATCCCGAAAAAAGCTGTTTTGAGAAAAATGAAGGTAAAGTTTTTGCCCCTTGTTCAGTTTCTTTAAAAGAAAAGGAGAGTTTTCTCTATAACCAAACAAATAAACACACCAATGAAACCAAACTTCTCCTATAGGTAGGGTAATGCCCACTTTTGGTGTAGGTCAAAATTTCTGGAAACCCCCAAAATTTGGGTTGGCCCGCTTGTCCTTAAAAGTGACCAATTCATGGCAGACCAAGACATTCCATCCACTGTGGTTAGTAGCGTTTGTTAGTGTGAGATAAGCATTACAGCACAGCCCCGGCACCGGAGCAGCTTACAGCGAAGACGTCAAGGGCAGGTCGAGCAGCAGAGACAAACCCGACACTTCCTTTGTGTCAGTTCCACACACGGGGGGGAGGGCGGGGCCAGCAGCTGTTATTGTGGAGCGGCTGTGGTCCCGACGCAGGGCACATGAGCGTCGTCATATGAACATCGTCACATGGAACGTTGTCACACCATCACATGAATGCCGCCGCACCGTCATATGAACGCTGTCACACTGTCACATGAACGACGTCAGATGAGCGCCGGCACAAAGCATGTCACATCAGGAAGTGGTGGGTCCCAGTAGGTGAGCAGACGTTTCAGACTTTTACTTTTCCACCTCAGATATCTGCCCTTTGTTCCATCTCTTCATGCAGCCGCTGTGCCAAGGCATCAACAAACACGCTCGGAAGCTCAAATTTGGCACCAATTTTTTTGGCTACCTCCTCGGGTATATCAACCTGTCAAAGAAAAAAAAAAAAGAACCAATGGAGAAATCTGAACAATTGATATCCTTGCTATTATGCCTGCATTCACAAAGCACATTTTCCGCTCCACTTGATGAAAGAATTCACAAACAGGCTTCAAACTCCGACCATTTCTCTTTTTTCCCCCCAGCAAGCTGTCATATATATAATACAGCACCCTGTACAACTTTTTTTCTAAATATCTCATACAAAATTTGTACTAGAATGTTGTAATTTGGAACAGAAATAATTCATTCGAAAGGAATTTGTTTGACATAAAATTCACAAAGAAGAAACTTATTTTTGAAAACGGAAATGGCTTTTATACAAGGGTGACCTTATTTAGGCCACATATGGCCTAAATAAGCTAAACCCCCCTCCCTTACCTTATTTGGGCCACAGGTGGCCTAAATAAGCTAAACCCCCCTCCCTTACCTTATTTGGGCCACAGGTGGCCTAAATAAGCTAAACCCCCCTCCCTTACCTTATTTAGGCCACACATGTGGCCTGAATAAGCTAAACCCCCCTCCCTTACCTTATTTAGGCCACATATGTAGTCAAAATAATCAAACCAATGTAAAGCATTGTTTTCTTTAGAAGTTACATTATTATTTCTTTAAAACTCTTCACATCCATTTTCCTTCACAGCCGTATCGTACATGACATGTGATGTAGAATCAATTTAAGGTCCTTGGAAAGGTGACCAGAAAATAACAAAATTATTTTGCACTTGCAATTTTTTGGACAAATTAAAGTCTACCTAATTATATTTTTTTCCCCTCATTTTTCTTCACTATAAATGACAACTGGCATGTATTGTTTACAGTTATTATCAAGAAAGTGGATAGGCGGACTACGGGGTCTATCTAGCCAAAAGGATAGGTGGACCCCAGGGTCTACCTAACAAAATGTTAGGTTTTAGGATGTGAACCCCGGAGTCAGCGTAGTGAAATAAGTAGATCTAGGTTTAACTAAGGATCGGTGGACCCCGGGGTCAACATAATGAAATAAGTAGATCTAAGTTTATTTTATAATAGGACTGGCGGAGCCCGTGGTCAAAGTAGTGAAATTATAAGTAGATATATAGGTTTAATTAAGGATTGGAGGAACACGGGGTCAATGTAGTGAAATCAGTAGATCTAGGTTTAATTAAGGATTGGTGGACCCTGGGGTCAATGTAGTGAAATAAGTACATGTAGATAGATCTAGGTTTAATTTTAAGGATTGGTGGACCCTGGAGTCAACGTAGTGAAATAGGTAGGTTTAAGGTGGACCCCAGGGTCTACCTAACGAAACACTAGTTAGGTTATAGAATAGGTGGATCCTGCGGTCACCGTAGTAAAATAAGTAGGTTTAATCAAGGTGTCCCGGGGGTCCACCAATCCTTAATTAAACCTTCTTAATCCTCTATGGCTATGGTGACTCCGGGTTCCACCAATCTTTAAAGAAACCTACTTATTTCACTGCGGTGACCCCAGGGTCCACCTGTCCTAAAACCTAGTACCAATCCTTACTTAAACCAAACCTTATTTCACTACGGTGACTCCGGGGTCCACATCCTAAAACCTAGTATTTCGCTATGCAGACCCCGGAGTCCACCTATCCTCTACAGGACTATACTATTATTATCAATTTGCAATTTTCATTGATTAGCATTTTTTTTAAAATATTGAATCAGAGTGCAGGGGAGACCGAGGCACCCGGTCGATTCGGTGGTCGGCTTTTGTAGATCTATGCATTTTTTACGGAAAGCCGTATTACCTAACCCTATTACTAGATCTATTAGTGTTGTGAAAACTTCAACCTCTACAGCTCAGGCGTCAAAAGATGCTGGTAAATAATAATAGATCTACGTCCTGAAGTTTCATAATTTATTTTTATACAGAATAACACAGTACACAGTCAGTAGTTTTTATTTCATCGAGTTATAAATATGGCCTTCGTATAAAAATTGCCTTGTTTTCAGAAGCAAGTTTTAATAGTTCTAGTTCTACCTAATCGATTTTCACGCGAATTCAACCATTTTGATGATCTTTCTTTTCCTTTTAAAAAGATGTAGATCTAGGCCTGTCGGATGTGGCAGTGCGAATAGCACTGAGTTGTTTAGATCTAGATCTAGATCTAGACCCATCAAAACACAAGGCTTCGTGGCCGATCACAAAAGTCTACGGGGCTTATCGAGGCCGATTCGCCCTGCCGCGAGCACGTTCACTAAACTGCCTACTAGATAGAATCTACTACCAAACATTCTCTACACGATCTTTGCTACTACTACTACTAGGCCTACTAGCCTACATGTACTACTACGAGACAGTACGAGAGAGTGTCACTCAGGCAAAGATAGTGTAACTTTGACTCAGCCACGTAGTATACACACTTTTTAAACCCCAAATTTAACCCGGAAGTCCATTCGGAGGATTTGACCTTTTCACTTGACCAAAATGTGCCAAAATGGTAGCCTAGCTTTTGCCCCTCCATGAAGGAAAAATCCGGCCCTCATTCAAACCATTGGAATTGAGCAAAATTTTGCGTATTGTGCTTTGTTCTTTACAATATTCATTATGGTTATGATTTATAAGTTGTACACTGAGGCAAAACCATACTAAATGAGAAAGGTGCACCATTATGAAAGTGGAATGAACTCAGTTGCCTGAAAAGGGTAGTTTGAGCATGTGTGGCCTAAATAAGCTAAACCCCCCTCCCTTACCTTATTTAGGCCACAGTCCACTGTGGCCTAAATAAGCTAAACCCCCCTCCCTTACCTTATTTAGGCCATATGTGGCCTAAATAAGCACTCCCTTTATACAAACCACCTATAAATGCAAAATGCACCAATTTAAAAGTTCTTGTAAGGAAAGTCATGTAACGATTGGTTTGTTTTTTCCTTTCCTTTCCTTTTTAAAATCGAATCTTTCCATCCCTGTAACCTTTAAACAAGACGATCGACACAAAATAGAAGGAGGGGACTTTTTAGTTTTAGTAAGAGTTTTACGGCACTTGCAACACAATAAGGTCACATAAGTGCCGAAGAATAGAGGTGTTACAAGAGAGTAACAAACACAAAAAAGAAGGAGCGGAGATAAGGACAGCAGATGTTTGATAGGAAAGAAGGAGCAAACCACACTAGAGCACCCGCCAACCACCCACAATACTGAGTTCAGTAGGCCTATATCCACATTTTATTTTACCCAATCCAAACTTCCCTCCTGTTACCCAGCATTTAACTAGGTCTTGGCTACAATGAACGCATCCGAGATCAAGAAAGATTTTGTTAGAGATTAACAAGAAAAGAGTCACTTCCTGTTCCTTTCTATGGCATGAGTCAGCAGAAGTTATTAGAAGCACGATTGAAAGCTGCCGCGCCGAGTTCAACCAATGATAGTACATAACAAGATGGGCCACTTCTCTCTTTGAGCCATTTAAAAAAGTGTCCTCAAAATTTGGTGGCGCCCTCTTCACAAAAGCGCACTTTTGCGAACAGAGTTACCCTACTTGAGTTTTAAAAAATGAAAGTGAAACTAGCAAGTTTTGGGATAAATTACGGAAGAAAACGTTTTTAAAATGGTTACGCTGACAAAAAACCTCTTCCGGAGAAAAGGGTGATGGTTTTCTTCGATTAATTTGACTTTAGAATGAAAGGCGAGAGGTCATTAAAATAAAAAACCCTAAAACTCCGCACTGAACGTACCCGAACTGCTGATGAACAGCAGTCGATCTGCGCACGCAAGGACGTGTTATTCCTATTCTTCTTCTGGAAAAACGAAAGAGAGCTTCAAAACAGACTGCAGCGCCATCTGAAGCAAAGAGCATACTTCCTGCGGACACTTTTTTGGCTGAGTGGCCCATCTTGTTATTCACTATCTTTGGTTCAACTCAACATGGTGAGTAGATCTATTTATTGAGCTTACCCTTCCCTCCTGTTACCGGGGTCTATAACCACTTATTCTACAGAAATCCGATACACCCTCCGGGAAGGACTTCCGTAACGAGCGACCACCCCAACATTCGCAATAAAGAAGGGACTTTTGAGTGGGCTTTGGTAAAAGATAAGATAAGATACATCTTTATTGTCCAGGTCCTGGCACATTGGTTTGGTGTTTCACCACGTGTACACACGCGCACACACACACACACACACACACACACACACACACACACACACACACACACACACACACACACACACGCGCGCGCGCGCGCGCACACATGCACACACACACACGTAGACTTACAATCACATGCATAATATAAATGAGCAGCAATAAACAGTCCCCGTCGTTTTATGCAAGAAAAATTCTGAAATTATGCAAACCGAGCCCAAAAATGTGAAATTATGCGATTCTGTTAATTTTTACAAAGAATGATAAAGGAAAATAAACAGAAATTAGGCAAAAAATGATCAAATTTTGCTAAATTATGCGGGGTGCATAAAACCACGGGGACAGAATAAACAATAATAATCGTAAGCTAGATACACACTCAATTTTATTTTGATGTATGCTCTAAGGTCGTAAGTATACTTTATACAAGATGGTTTGTAACAGATAGGGTTTAGTAAATATTACGTTGGGCAATAAAGAAAGCAAACTGGTTTTGTTCAATTTTGTGTTCTCTTGCCTTCCTTTGTCTCTTCACCTGGAAGGTGTATTATTAGTGACAAGTTAGGATTTTCTTTAAGAAGTCTGCCACGCGGGTGGTCGGCGGGTGCTCTGTTGTGGTTTGCTTCTTCTTTCCTATGGAACATCTATCGTCCTCATCTCCCCTTCTTCTTTTGTTACTCTCTTATAACACATCTAATCTTCTGGCGCTCATATGACCTTATGCAGTTGCCAGCGCCGTAAAACCTCTGCTAAAACTAAACGATAGTCTGCCACGGTTACATTTCAATGGCAAAACAAACCATAGGCCCTAGCATGAACTCTGCTCAGTTTGTGTTCTACAGGGGAAGGTGTTGATTGATCCTTCTCTCCTGTTACTTTCCCTGCTGTTACCCG